ATCTATCTATCTATCTATCTATCTATCTATCTATCTATCTATCTATCATCTATCTATCCCTCCATCCCTCCATCTATCCAGCTAGCTCCATCCATATCTCTACCTACCTACCTATCTATCAATCCATCCATCATCTATCAAGCTCTGTCCATCTCTCTCTACCCACTTATCCATCTATATCTATCCATCATCTATCTCTCTATCATCCATCCATCCATCCATCCATCCAGCTAGCTCCATCCATATCTCAATCTATCGGTACCTACCTACCTACTTACCCATCCATCCATCAATCTCCATCCATCTCTACTTACCTATCCAACCATATCTACCCATCCTTATCTATCTATCTATCTATCTATCTATCTATCTATCTATCTATCTATCTATCTATCTATCTATCTATCTATCTATCTACACCTACCTACCTACCTATCATCTCTCTCTCTCTGTCTCCATCCATCCATCCATCTGGCCAGCCACTGGTAGCTCCATCCATATTTCTACCTACCTATCTAGCCATCCAACTACCCTTTACCAAGCTCCATCCACCTCTCTCTCTACATACTCATCCATCTATTCATCCATATATATCGATCCTTTCTATCTATCTATCTATCATCTATCTATCTATCTATCTATCTATCTATCTATCTATCTATCTATCTATCTATCTATCTATCTATCTACCTACCTACCTACCTACCTACCTACCTACCATCTATCTCCCCCGCCCTCTAACTGAACTCAACATGAGCTTAATAATTGCTGAAATGAGTTTAAGTCATTTCTTGGTTAAAACCGCTCTATTCAAACAAACCTTTTACGAAACGCAAACTTTACTCAATGCGTCTGCTGCAGAGAGAAGGAATGGAGAGGCACAGAGAAGTAAAAAGAGACCAGGCACAGAAACTGGCTCAGAAGGTCCACCTTACCTGATCCATCATGCCACCTTTCTTGATCAGACGGATCCTGGCTAATATGTTGATCTGGAGGGTGTATCTTATGTGTGGAATCAGGAGCTGCAGAGAGAAAGGAAGAGGAGGAGGAGAAGCGATGAAGGCCTTCAGCCCTTGAGTTGGAGAAGGTTCTTGGAGACCATGGAGGTCAAGAGAGAGGCTGATGATCCAGAGCTTCTAACAGGGGCCAACAGGGTGGCTGTCACAACCTGTGGCCAACCCCACCAAATGCAGAGAGCAGGTGATACATCCTGACCTGTCAGGTGAGCAGGAGACCTGGATCTGCCCCTTCCAGAAGTAAATGGGGATGGGGAAAGGGAGAAGACCTGAAGGGGACCAGTTCCTGAGGGTCAAAACGAAGGAACATGCTTGGTGGGACATGACTGTCTCCAGGACAGAATAACAGAACAGCGGAGTTAGAAGAGACCTTGGAAGTCTTCTAGTCCAAGACCCTAACTCAGGGGTCGGCAACCTGCGGCTCCGGAGCTGCATGTGGCTCTTTTCATCTCTCTGCTGCGGCTCCCTGTGGGCTCAAAATATGTGTCACAACCGCCAATGTGTGACACCCCTTTATTGAGCTTTTCAACCCCTGGTAGGTTTTGTGGCTCCCAGTGTTTTCTGTGGGAAACGGGTCCAAATGGCTCTTTGAGTGCTTAAGGTTGTGGACCCCCCTGCCCTAGCCCCAGTAAACCATCACCATCTTCTACCATCTCTTAGTAAACAGCAGCTTAATCAGATAAGGACAACCAAGAAGTAAACAACATTCCCACCTAGACTGAAAGGGGGAGCCAGCCGTATAGAAACAGAGAGCAAAAGCCATTCCTTTCTAGCACTGATGATGTTCCCTAGTCGGGTCATGAAACGTCTGCAAGAAAAAGCCACCCAGCTCAGAGACCACCAAGGACCCCACAGTTCAACCTTGAGCTACAAATATCCCCTTCCAATAGAGACACAACAGTCACATTGCGATGCCTACAGGAAAGCCACAGTGGGGGGGATAGTTTGACAATGATTGCCTAACTCATTTCAGACAAATGGTTGTCCAATCTCTTCTTTAAAATCTCCACTGTTGGGAGCACCCACAACTTCTGCAGGCAAGTTTAATTGTCAGGAAAGGACCTAGGACAATTTAGTAGCATGGGGACTATATTCCCTTTTCCTCGAAGTCCATCTCCACCAAAAGAAGAACCTTCCCCCCACCCACCCCCAGAGTTCACTTCAATTTTAGATGGATGTAGGACCTGGGATAGGCAGATGTGGGGCTTTGATGTGATTAAGGGCCTTGTTGTGGGATGTCAGCCTTTCTCAATCAAGCTGCCTTTTGCATTGACCAAGAGTCTGTCAATGTCATTCCAAGCAAAGCTGCCTTTTGCAATTGACTGACAGGGATTTTGCCAATACCTTCTCAATCAAGCTGCCTTTTGCATTGACCAAGAGTCTGTCAATGTCATTCCAAGCAAAGCTGCCTTTTGCAATTGACTGTCAGGGATTTTTGTCAATGCCATTCAAGTCAAGCTGCCTTTTACAATTGATGGACAGGATTTGTGTCAATGCCATTCAAGTCAAGCTGCCTTTTGCAATTGACTGGTGGGGTCATCAATGCTTTCCAGGTCAAGCTGCTTTTTCCAATCGACCGGTAGGGATTCTGTCAATGTCGTTCTGAGCAAAGATCCTTTTGCAGTTGACTAAGATTTTGTCAATACTATTCCAAGTCAAGTTGCCTTTTGCAATTGACCGATGGGGTTTTTGTCAATGCCGATGGCATTCAAGAGGTGCTCCAGATATTTTGGGACTGCACCTAAGGCGGTGCCTATCACTCTTGGGTTTAGTTTTCCTTCCTTTTGCTATGGTTATTATTATTATTATTTGGGTCATTATTGGAACAGGGTATCCCTCATTATTTCATATAAAGTTGTGTACTAAGCTTAGTTGTATTTGTGTTGTGGCCCACTGGTGGCTGGCGGAGCTGGCAGCAGAGTCGGACAGTAGTGAGGAGGTTGGGGAGGAACCCGGGCCAGTCCTGGAGGCGAAGGAGGGCTCGGACAAGGCTCTGCATCGGAGGCAGAGATGGGGCCAGGGCAGGCTGGCAGTCTTCAGCTGTCTTTGGGTTCGGACAGCAGTGAGGCGGGGGAGCAACTGGAACCGGTTCCCAGCCTGTGCATGAGCAGGGCTACCAGAAGACAAGAACAATTGAGAAAGCAGGATCTTTTATTGGGGTACATTTTGGCCAATCTCATTGGTAAAACATCTTGTCCATATTTTCTTTATAAGCTGCCAATCTTGTTAATGTGTAATTTTTATTCCATATTTTTCCCAATCTTCTAAGTCTATATTATGTCCAATATTTTTTGCCCTTGCTATCGTACAACCTTTTACTACCTCCTCTTCCAAAGCAAATTCAATAAATAATTATACATCCTTGTTATGCATTTCTCCTCAGAGCCTACTAAAATCTTGTCTAGTTGTAGTAACTCCGTATTAATTCCATATTCTTTTACAACTTTTTTGTATCTGGTTTGCAGCTGAAGACATGGTCACCAATCTATGATTATGCCTTGATCTTTAATTCCTGATTTGTTTTTAATTTTACCCTGATTATCCAATATCTCTTTGTACCCCAATATGAATCCAAGATGCTGGAAATGCAATCAAGATCAAGGTACCTTCTATCATATGTGGTGGTTATGTCCGGAAGCCCATAAGTATTGGATCAAAATATGGAGTTGGATACAAGACATAGTGGAAGACCAGATAGAGTTTAAACTGGAGTTGTTCTTGTTAGGAATAATAAAAGGGAATCATAGTAAAAAGATTAAATAAATACTACTACATATATTGACAGCAGCAAAGATAGCCTTCACGCAATGTTGGAAACAAAATAATACGCTATTTGGAGGAATTAGTAATTTAAAAAATCTTAGATTGTGCTGAAATGGACAAACTTATGTTAAAACTAAAGGATAAAGAACAGTATCATGAAATTTGGGACAGTTGGTACAATTGATTGAATAATAGAGATAAGGAAAATGTAGAAAAATATCCACCATCCTAAGAAACCCTAAAGACAAAATCGAGTTAGAAAACCAAGGAGTATACGAAATCCCTTGCACCGCCTGTCCCACCACATACAACGGACAAACTAACAGAAGAATAAGTGCACGCATTGAAGAACACAAGAACTCAATCAAAAAAAAAGAACCGACCTCTTCCCTGGTCCAACACCTCAAAGCCACAGGACATGAGATTGACTTTAAAAATACCAGAACCATTGCCAAAACTGAACACTTCAACAACAGAATAATCAGAGAAGCCACAGAGATAGAAAAACGCCCACACAGCATGAATAAACGAGATGATACCTCCTGCCTACCAGCCATCTGGAAACCCGCCCTCATTAACGAATGAGTACCGAACATGAAGAATGACACCAGACCCACACCCACGAGGGCCACACAAGATGCTACCACCACACTTCCATGTAGAAAGCAGACTCACACCCACACAGAAGATGAGACATGACCACAGACTAGAAGCCGTACCGCAGCTGCATCACTACCTGCTTCAAACCCCTCCGACCCATACATGAAGCAAACGGATGGCCACCATGAAGATGTGGCATGACCACGAACGCAAAGCCAAACAGCAGGATCACAGCTCACCAGCTCAAATCCCCCAGAAACTAAGACTAACCTGAGCACAACAAGCCCCCACCTGAACAGAACACACCTCCAGCCAATCAGAACACGGCCAACCCCCCAACCAATCAGAACACAGCCAAACCCCCAACCAATGAGAACACACCCCCACCCAATCAGAACACAGCCAAGCCCCCACCCAATCAAGTCACACCCCCACTAGCAGTTAAAAGGAAGAAGCAGCTGCAAGCTCACATCACTCTGAGAAGCACAGAGCTGAAGACAGAAGCCTGAAGATGATGAATGAGACTTCATCGAAACGTTGCCTAGATACTTCCAATCTTACGCGGGAGAAAACCCGAATAACCAAAGATCCACATACAAATACCCGCGAGAACCTCAGAAAACAAATACACACACACACACACACACACACACACACACACATATCTATTCGAGATTAGTATATGAAATAATGATGTCGCTGTACTGTTAATGTTAAGATTAAGATTTGTAAAATTAGAAAAAGAACAATAAAAACATTTAAAAAAAGAGAAAGCAGAGTCGACTCAAGAGTAAGGCCACACCTTGGAGATGATTGGCCTCTCCCATAGGACATAAAAGAGGAGCGAACGGGACGTGAGCTTTTGCAGGAAGCAATTAGTTTGTCTGGTTGGTTCAAGCTTTGAAAAGTTCTGTTTGACTCTGTGTCAGGTTTGGCCTTGCCCTGCGTTTGGCAATTCGTCCTCTGGCTACATTCCAAGTGCAATAAGGTGAGTGCTTATAAACATTCCCCTGAAAGACTGTAAACCCTTGCAGGTTGTGAATGAATGTAATTCACAGCCATGGGAAATAAAAGAGGTTTTGCCAGGACTAAGACGGGTTTTTTATGCTTTCTAAGAAAGCCTTGGTCAGAACAATTTGTTTCATGGACGGCCATCCAAAACCTCACGTTATGGGGAAATTGGACGAATCCGGTGACAATATTCCTGCATCCCAACTCATGGGAACACACACACACAGAGAGCGATCTGTCTCTCTTGTGCCCTACCTTGAACACCGGATGGCACATGGGGAGGTGCCGTAGAGTGGCCATGGTGAAGATCTCAGCCATCAGGTGGGTCTTCAGAAGGTGGGAGATGTTCTGGTGGATGTGGAAATCGGCATTGCGCACCCACATCTTAGCTAGGGTCCAATCCCAGTGTGGGTCGCTGGGAAGGAAAATGGGACTCTCGGCACCGGGGATTTGGCTGAGCTGAGAGAAGGAAGCAAACAAAGAACGAAGAAAAAGGGACGAATGAGCAAGGAGATTGAAAAACCATGTATCCTCACCCTTCGTGTCATTAATTGCTTTACCAGAGAATTACTTATAGAACAGCGGACAGGAATGGTGCGGTGGCCTAGAGGTGGGAGCTCTCGCCTCACAATCAGGAGGCTGTGAGTTCAATCCCAGGTAGAGGCAGGTACTTATTTCTCTGGGCACAATGAGAATATACCTGCTGATCAAAAAACTCTGCACTGGGAACAGGAAGGGCATCCGGCCATTAAAACACTCTGCTAATTCCATTCAGTTGCCCAGACTACACCCCACAAGTGATTATTGGATTGTTAAATGATGATGATTGGATTGTTAAATGATGAACAGTGGACAGTTATAGGTAGTCCTCCACTTACAACTGTTCATTTAGTGAGTGTTCATAGTCACAACAGCACTGAAAGACTTACAATCAGTTTTCACAGTTGGTTTTACCTGGATTGCTATCGGTACGAGATTCCCAGAAGACATCTGGTGGAAGAGGCACAAAGGGACAGCCAGATACTGCTGTTCACCGTGGATGACGTTGGTCGGGCTTCCTTGGAGCATCTTGTAGTCCACTATGAAGATGTTCCCCTTCTTTAAATGGAAGGAAGGAAGGAAGTTAGTGCTTTATATACAACAGTTATGTACAGGCATATATGTGGTAGGCAAATACCTGACAAGCAATCAATCTTCTTAACTCTACAGGGAGAACTCCGCAATGGAGACAGGACACAAGGAGAGAAAACACACCTTCTAATGGCTGCCTTTATATAGACACCTCTTAAAGGGGTAAATATTTCTATGGATCCATACATAGTCTTAAAAAGGCAATACCCATGCCATGCTGATTCATCCTTATTGTATCAGCCTTACATTGCATCAGCCTTACAGTAACTGGTCAGCTCTTAAATTTCAATACCTTAACAGAAGGTCAAGATGGTGGTTCAGAAAGATCGGAAGGTCAAGAGGGTGGCTTCAGAAAGATCAGAAAGAGGATGGCTTCAGAAAGATCAGAAGGTCAAGAGGATGGCTTCAAAAAGAACAGAAGGTCAAGAGGATGGCTTCAGAAAGATCAGAAGGTCAAGAGGATGGCTTCAGAAAGATCAGAAGGTCAAGAGGGTGGC